ATTTCTTTGCATTGTACACAATGTGTGAGTCACATGTTATAAAATACTGTTAAGTACAAAGGAAGCCAAGAATATTGGCAGGACTTATAGAATGGGTACGTACATTGTGAGGACGTACACGGAAGGGACATAAAAACGTAAAATGTGCAGACGTACAGCTTGAGAACCCTTTAGGGTGGTGATGTGCACTCCGGGGATGTGGAAGGTGGGGAGATAAAATTTGAGAATTTGCAGATTGAGGATGTGCAGATAGAGATATTTGCAGGGTAGGGACGTGCAAGGTGGAGACATGAAGGAAGTTTTTGCATTGTGTAGACGTGAGGGTGGCGGTGTAAAATGTGGAGATAAAGAGAGTGAGGACGTGTAAGCGGGAAATAGAGTTGGGACATTCAGGACGGGAATTTGCAGGATGTTGATGTGAAGAGTGAGAACCTGTAAGGTGGCGACGTGCAGGGTAGGTACGTGCAGGGAGAGAACCTGCTGAGTAGAGAAGTGTAGAGCGAGGATGATGAGAGTATGGACTCCTCTACGGTGGAGACGTACAAGGTAAGATGTCAAGGGTGTGGACGTGCAGGGTAAAACGAGCAAAATGGGGACTTGTATGTGGGAACCTGATGAGTGGTTACGTGCTGGGCAAGGATAGTCAGAGTTATGACGTGAAAGGTATGAATATGCAAAATGAGGAGGTGAAGGGTGGCTAGGTACATTGTAGGGACATACGTGGTGGGGAATATGTTCCCCCTTAATGTCTCCACACTGAACATCTCCACCCTCTTGGATGGGAATATTCAAAGTGGGGTCGTGCAGAAAAGGGGCATTTAGGGTGAGAAATGTTGGAATGAAATAAGCAGAGTACTGATCTGAGCAATAAGGACCTGCAAGGTGGACACGCGAAGGGTTAAGACGTGCATGGTAAAAGCAAACATGGTATGACTATGGACATTTGGGACATGTTGGAAGTGGGTAGTCAACTGTAGCGTGGGCACGTAAAGGTTAGCATAGTGCAGAGTTCAGATGTGTAAAGTTCAGGCCAGGCTGTTTAGTGACCAGTAGATTGAGGTGGTTCGAGATGGTGACATTTTGTGTGTAAGTTAGTGTCATGCAGTTTGAAGACGTACAGGACTGGGTTTTCTAGGTTGGGATATATAAGATAGGGACGGCCAAAAAAGGTGTAGGTAAGCAAATGTATCTTTTAAATCATACCTATATGTCCAGCACTGTGCAACTAGGCTACAACTATATAATTGGAAAGTTTCACAGACAGCATTGTTGTGCCATGTCTGCGTCAGTGTCCACCATCTGTGGACCAGCTGTCCTTTCCCACAGCCCCGAAAGCTTTCACAGTACGTCTATGAAACCTCTCAGACTCCGGGAAAGGGCAGTTATCTTTTGTTAAAAACTTAAGAATTCATTTTATTCTTATAGCCTAATATATTCTAGCAACCTATGTATGCTTTTTCCCCGTGTACTTCAAATAACGTATTTTCTGAAATGCTTTACATCAGAATATAGGATTTGTATCTCAGGTATTTTTTTTTTTATTCTGTACTGATAGATAATATGGGTGTTTGTTATTCTTTGTGATAGCAGTGGAAAGTGCTCCCTTAAGTGAATCAACATTATTGTGATATATTACTAATGTTTTTAATAAATGAAGTTCTTTTATATTTTGATATGCCATATTTTAATCTCGGTATTGTATTGATTTCTAATAAGACTAAGATTTATAGATATTTTAGTCATCCTCTTTTGTTGGATGTACAAAATATTTCCTGAAAAGGTAAAAAATTATGATAGTGATTCTACCGTTCATATTTACAGTAAGACTGATTTGTTAATAGCAAAACTCTATCTTATATATCATATAAATCTTACTTGGCTTTTTCCTGCTCTAGGACAAATATGACATAAACGAGCATGATGGGGTCGTGGAAGGTATAAATATGCATGGTGAGGTAATGGAAGGTATGGACTTGAAGGACTTGAGTGGAAGGTAGGAGCTTGCGAGGTAGGTGAAGGGTAGGAGCTTCCAAGGTACGTGCAGGTAGGAGTTTGTAAGGCACGTGCAGGGTAGGAGCTTGCAAGGTACGTGTAGGGTAGGAGCTTGCAAGGTACGTGCAGGGTAGGAACTTGCAAGGTACGTGCAGGGTAGGAGTTTGCAAGGTACGTGCAGGGTAGGAGTTTGCAAGGTACGTGCAGGGTAGGAGTTTGCAAGGTACGTGCAGGGTAGGAGCTTGCAAGATACGTGCAGGGTAGGAGTTTGCAAGGTACGTGCAGGGTAGGAGCTTGCAAGATACGTGCAGGGTAGGAGTTTGCAAGCTAGAAACATTCAGATTGAGAACGTTAAAGTTATGCACGAAAATGATAGGGAGGTGGAAGGCACGAACATGCATGGTGGAGTCGTAGAAAGTATGGATGCACAAGGTGTGGACATATGTGGTAATAAACGTAAAGACGCATAGCGTGGCGACTTGCAGGGTGTGGACCCACTAGGGTGGGGACGTGTACGTTTGGGACGTGCAGGTGGGGAAGTGTAGTTTGAGAACCTGCAAATTAGGAGGCGCAAACCGGAGATGGAAAGTGCAAGGTGGACACACAAACAATATGGGTGTTGACGTGCAGAGTGATGGCCTGTAGGGTGTGTGCATGGAGGAAGAGAAGAGTTGGGAAGGAATGTGCAGCGTAAGGATTGAGACATGCAGAGTGAAAACCAGTAGAATGCGGATGCGTATGTTGGGAATGTGCATGTGAATAACGTGCATAGTCACTATGTGCAAGGTGGGAACACGTAAGGAATGGACGTGTAGGGTGGGAACATGGAAAGAATGAATGCGCAGGGTGGGAACCCTAGAGTGCAGGGTCAGACGTTTAGAATTGGGGCTATACTAGTCAGGGACTTATGGATGAGAACGTTTTGGGTGGGAAAGCGTAAGATGGGGATGAATAGGGTGGGGCATGGTAGGTAGGGGATATGTAAAATAGAGACGTATATAGTGGGCATGTGCAGAGTGTAATGATCTAGGATAGGTACGCATGTTAGGGACGTGCGTGCTAGGGATGCACAAAGCTGAACGTGCTAGGTGTAGACGTTCAGGGTAGGGATGTGAAAATGGAGACATGCAGGTTGAAGACGTAGAAGATGAACGGATGGAACGTGTTGGGTTGGGACGTGTAGGATGCTGACGTACAAAGTGAGGTTCTATAGGATGAGGTGCAGGATGGGGCTATATAAAGTGGAAATACTGAGAGGGGACGTGCATGGTAAAAAGCACAGAGTGAGGACATGCAATCTGGGGACAGGTTGGGTGGAAATTCTCACAGGCGGAATGGGATTGGGAACGCTTATTTTGGTGATGTATAAGGTGGGGAGTTGCAGTACTGAGACGCGTGGTGTGGGAATCTTTATGGTGGGAAGGTGCAAGGAAAGAACGTATGGGGTGAAGAAGTTCAGGGCTGAAAGATGCGGTGTGGTGACGTACACTGTGAGAAGATACAAGGTGACGGAAAGGGCGAGAACGTGCTCAGTTGGGGAGAAAAGGGTTACAGGAAGGGAACAAGCAGAGTTGAGACCGTCTAGGGTGGGAATGAAAATGATGGGTATGTGCAGGGTGGGGAGGTGTAGATGGACAACCTGCAGGTTAGGGTCGTACAGTTTGGGGATGCTCAAAGTGAAGACGTGAAGTGTGATGCAGGGAAGGGACGTGATTGGTAGAGACGTAGAAAGTTAGGTGGAGATGGAGATGTGCAAGGTGGAGATGTGCAAGGTGGAGATGTGCAAGGTGGAGATGTGCAAGGTGGAGATGTGCAAGGTGGAGATGTGCAAGGTGGAGATGTGCAAGGTGGAGATGTGCAAGGTGGAGATGTGCAAGGTGGAGATGTGCAAGGTGGAGATGTGCAAGGTGGAGTGCAAGTGGGATGTGCAAGGTGGAGATGTGCAAGGTGGATGTGCAGTGGAGATGTGCAAGGTGGAGATGTGCAAGGTGGAGATGTGCAAGGTGGAGATGTGCAAGGTGGAGATGTGCAAGGTGGGGTGTGCAAGGTGGAGGTGTGCAAGGTGGAGGTGTGCAAGGTGGAGGTGTGCAAGGTGGAGATGTGCAAGGTGGAGATGTGCAAGGTGGAGATGTGCAAGGTGGAGATGTGCAAGGTGGAGATGTGCAAGGTGGAGATGTGCAAGGTGGAGATGTGCAAGGTGGAGATGTGCAAGGTGGAGATGTGCAAGGTGGAGATGTGCAGAGTTGGGACGTCCATAGTGGGAATGTGCCGACCGAGGTGTGAACGTGCAGTTTGTGGACATGCAGGATACTTACAGGCAGGTGAAGACTTATCACTTAGGATGTATAAGGTGGTGGTGATGAGAGTGGGGACCGTCTATAGATGACTTGTAGGGTGGAGACGTGAAGTGTGAGGACAGGCAGAGTAAACTTGCAGACTGGGGATACATGTGGGGAGTTTGTAGGGTGGGTACGTGCAGGCTTGGGACATCAAAGATGACGTGCAGCGTGCAGAATGGGGAAGTGTAGGGTAGCGACGTACATTGTAGGGGCATACAGAGTGGGGATCTGCAGTGTGAAGACCTTCTATGGTGGGGATATGGTGGGTAGGAATTTGCATAGTGGGAACACGCAGAGTGGGAACGCTCATATGTGGAGTTGCAGGGTTGGGACGTGTTAGGTAAGAAAATTAATGTGCAGGATGAGAACGGGTTGGTTATTACGGTACGGTGGAAACGTGTAGTGTGAGGACGTGCAGGATGGGAACATAGTGGGGACCTGGAAAGTTAGAAAGTGTTGGTTAGAGTTTTTAAGGAGGGGAAATGTTGAGTTAGAATGTTCTGTGTGGGGAAGCGTCGAATCGAGATGTGAAGAATGATTTCTGGGAAAGAGTGGTGATGTAGCTTAGTTCATATTTATTTTATCTATTTAATACACCTTGAAATATCCAAATATACATTGATCTTTTTCATAACCGTTATTTACAAGAAATTGCAAATGCGTACTCACAGAACTGTCCCAGAGAGCAGTTCCTAAGGAAGAGGTTTGTAACATTGCTTTTCCTTAGAGGCATGAAGAGCTTTCCAGGCAGGTTACCCATTGGATTGTTGTTCATGATAAGAGTTTGCAGGTGGGGAAGCACTGTCTCGTTCATCCCGGTCGGGTCAGGCTGCAACACAAAATTTACACGGTAAATACTCGTACACTCTTCACTAACACTGACATTGTGTACTAAAAATGTGATGAGTTGAAAGAACGAATAATAAAGGTAACCCCCAGACATCAAATCTGTTACATGCATGAGGCTAACTGAAATTATATTAGAAATTAGTTTCAAATTGTGGACCCTTAGCCTCGGAGAAGTGAATAAAATGTCTTCGAGGAAAAACATTTGATGTTTCCCAAGATCCATTTGAATATTCCTCTTCCTACCACCTCATCTTTTATTTTACGAAGTTATATTTTATTACATAATATGATATACAAGGTGTGAAATATACATTGATGGTACAAGATGGTGTGTACAGTACATGAGGTTTGAGGGATACATTTCAAGTGCATAATGCTACGTATTTGTCACAGATTACAATGTAAAAATCCTGGATACACGCCCCAGCTCCGTGGATCTGGGGCGCATACCCAGGATACAGAAGACCCTCTGAACTGCAGATTTAGTCGTTGGAATAGAAAACTAGCGGCCCTGAAATTCCTAGTTGCCCTGACAAGCCTTTTACCAAAAGTCTCTGAGACTAGGAGTAGACAACATGTAATGATAAGTTCACTATATTTCCAAGGCTTATGGGGCTCCCTGTAGCTGGCAGTTAACCTCCCCAGAAGTTTAGTCCAAGTAGGTGCAAATCTGAAATTTTATTGAAATTGCTAAAAACTAGGAATCATCAATATAACAATGGTTATAAATGACCATAATTTTTAAAGGGGTGGACCGGTAAGCCAGCGGAAGGCCTCGGTCATATGACCAAAAGCTCCAAAGGCGGGTCATCATCTGACTAAGACCCGCGTCAGGAAACATTTGTCCTGTTTCCTGACGAACCTTACCTAACCTAACCTAGGAATCATCTGAATAGGTTCAAATAGGGCGAATGCTTTTTCTGACTAGTTTTATATTGGAGGCCTTTGAGCTAGATAAATTATAAGTATTGTGTATATTAATATTGGGTTATGACGTGCCAGTTTATCTTTTTTTTCTTAATTTTATCAATGTTGATTAACAAAATCAAATCAAATATTACAGAATTGTAAACAATTTTAAAATGATAGTAAATAAAAAAAAAGGAAATCTTGATATATATAAATTCTCATTTTCATGGTATTTTTAAGCGAAACATTTTTGCCCACTTTCTCACAAATATTCATTTATTATTCGAGAATACTTTACTCAGTATCCTTCAAATTTTCAACAATGTAATATATCATGGACAAAATTCATGGGACTGCTTCCATTCATGGGTGCTTTATGCACCATGTTATAGGCCTTTCCAAAATTTTGTTTCCATGTAATAACTGGAGAAAGACTCCTCTGATCGCTTTCAAAATTTCAATAATCGTGTCTCCTATTTAAAAAAAAAAAAGGTTAGTATATTTAATGGAGTGTCTACTAACATTTTTATCGCTTTTAATATCGAAATGATAGTATCATTTTACATTATTGCAATACTTTAATTTCGTGTAGGAGGAGTCTTATCTGAGGAACTGAACATTACCTTCTCTGTCTTGGATCGAAATATTAATTCCTGCATTAAGGCGAGATATGATCCCTTTACAGGTTTTAGTGCTTTTTTCATTAAATATAATTAATTGTGAACGTATCACTTTTCAATATTGGTGCATCTTATGACATTGTTTAAAACATTATCTTGGGTTTTGATGATAGGGACAAAGTTTGTTGGATCTGATTGCATAGTTGGAAAGTTCATCTTCTCGTTACTTTACATTTCTAGTGGTGATGTTAGTCTCTGTTGTTAGGTTATGTAAGTTATGGTGTGCTAGTTTAATTAATTTCCCGTTTTGCTACAGTGCAAAATTTCAATCACCTTCATTGAGGCACAGTGGACTGTAATATTTTTGATGAAGAAATATGGATATTAGTTTAAATATGATGATTTGTAAATGCCACTTCCGATTTCTTCAAATCTTCGACGTTAAAATTAACATTTTTATCAACGCACGTCACACTTTCCACCATTTCAATCGCATGCATTGTGGTACAGGGGATTGTGGGTTGTGGAATACAGTGATTTCTTCATCGGACCTAAATGCATCTAGTATTTATCTGCATTAACAACTTACACTCTATAATCCGGTCATGTGCATAGAAGTACAGGTGACTGCGGTTGTGGGACATGTTTATTGAAATATGTATATAAATTTTGGTATGGTGACTTATGAAAAGCTCTCCCGAGTCCTTTCAAATATTCATCGCTAAAATAGAGCTTTTTTTTCAAATTATGTTGCTTTTTATTTTTTCCAGTTGTCTCGTTGAGGCACAGGAGACTGAGGTTATGATATATGTGACTGACTTTTTTTCAATTCCGCGGCAGCCGAAATACATGAAGTCGTACATTATGTGACATGTTTGCTACATTATCTGAAATTTCCTCCTCTACTTAGTGCATATATAGTCATTGTACTATGTTATAAGTACAGTTGTGTGATACATTTGTAGCTTTGCCAAGAGCCAGGAAGACGTAGGTCTAACATTTCTTCTTACAAAGGTAATCAAGCATACCCCCGTACATACCTGTATAGTCACTGACCAGTGTTGTGCACACAGTCATGCATGTTGTCCTCACTCTAGGCAGCTTGAGCAACAGCAGGAAAGCTACTGGTCTGACATGTGGCTCTCCGAAACTACTCTAAAAATGCCCTTAGAGGAACTAGGAAAACAAGTCTATTACATAATGAACATTTTCGCGATTTTCTAAAGCAGTCTGTTTTGAGATTGTGGCTGGACAATAGACTCCAATAAATATAGATTTCCAGCCTATATAGTCCTTGATCTATATTGTATAACGAGTGGTTGTCATATTTTGCAGGATTGTTGTATATAGCATTTGATTTCTGCACTGTCCATACACTATTGCTGTGACTGATTTACTTCCATCAGTTTTCCAGTTTTCCTAACATAAAACTGGTTGCATCCTGTGCATGCAACTTTGTTCACACATCCCGCCACATGCTAGGAAACTGAATAATTATATATCACAAAGTGCATGATTGCAAGCATGCTAACCCGAAATTTGCATAAAAACCTAAAAAGAACTATGTCATGACTAGCAGTCAACTGTTGGTAAGGGGCCAGTGAAAAGATGGGTTAGTTTGGCTGAATCATTTTGCAATTTGGAAAACGAGGGTGTTATAAATGTTGATTTTTTCATTTGCAAAGGAATAGTATATGTTGCATTGCTCCAGACGGTGATTCCTAGCTGCCCACAGTGCTTCATTTAGGTACACAAGCACTCATAGTAACCCTTGATTGCCTTACAAAGGCAGATAAATCAAATATACTCGTCACTTTAGATAAAACAGATTACCTGGATAAAGTGAAAAGTGACAGTGAGATTTATTCACTCTTATTAGAAATCCCTTTGATGAGGTTAAGAATAACTTTAAAAAGCATCTAAAAGTTATTTTCAAGGGTAATGATCTTATTAAACTGTTAGCCAGGTCACCCGTGCTTCAATACCTTCATGGTGTGGTTAAGACACACAACCTATTATAAACTCCGTTGGAAAAGCGGCATATAATCTATCGATATGGGTGTCATACAGTTATAGTTTGGTTAAGACACCTAAGCCAGGAAACCCCGATCGACCTATTTTTAGCTCTAGTGAATCAACAACATTTAATCTATTAACCCCATTTATAGGTTATGTCTCAGATGCCCTTATAATGAATAGCTGTACTCTATGAACTCCATTACTGAACTGATTCAACTGCGCATAATGGACTATAAGTTCATATTTGAAGGGGAATACTACGCTCAAAAACAAGGAATGACAATTGGAAACCCGCTTTCCTCAGTGTTAACTAATCTCTACAGGAGTATGAGACTAGATTATTACAAGGTATTTTTCTGAGTGCAGCCAATTAGTTTAGATATATGGATGATGTACTCCACATGTGGAAAAAGGATCAGAATTTGGCTGATTTCTTTCTGAGAGTAAATGACTTTGCACCCTTGATTATTCTCACAGTTGGCTGAGAAAGGAATAACGAATGCTCATTCTTAAACATCCTGGTCCGTTGGGTTGATAAGGTTAAACTCTGCACTTCTGTAAGTACACAGTTCTTCACTGATGAAACATAAGTTTTTATATTGTGTCTAGACTGACACCCCAAGAATATCTTTGAGAAGGCATAACTAAGCAACAACCTTATTTAAGATTGAACCTGAAGAGTCATATCCTCTCAGAAATTTGTTAGTCTTGCTTTATATAGAGAATTTAACTCTTCTACCAAATGCACCAAACAGATTTTGATTTAAATATTATTTTCAAGAATACCAGCACAGTCAAACACATGGTAATTAAAAAAGCACTTGTTTATGCGGTGGGAGGTGTGTACAAAGTTCAGTGCACTGGGTGTAGCCAATTGTATTTTGGAAAGCAAAAAATACTGCTTGAAGCTAGATTGTCACAACTCCTCTATACCATATGGATAATGAAGGAATCGATGCTATTTTCACCCACAATAAAGCTTGTAATAATCCTGCAGAACTGTTTAGTCATGGTCCTAAATTCAATTGCAAAAAGGAGCATCACAGAATTTGAAATTATAAAACATATCCACTCAATATAAGTCAGGGAATATACAGGCTAAATACATAGTTGAATTCATTAAACCAAATTGATGCTTTACAAAATCACAGGAATATACATTATGTGAAAAAATGGTTTATAAACTGACAAGTTGATAAATGATACATATATGCAGCATTTGGGTATTTCAGTTCCAGAAACATGTCTCATTTATCAATATACATTACAATGGCATTTTTTTCTTTTTTGTAATATTGCATCCCCAGGATCTCTAGGCTTCTCTCGTGTATTTTGGAGGGTCGTGTGTTAGGTCTGCTTCTTCACAGCTTTTGCTAAAGCTGCCAAGGGTGACGATGGTCTGTATGTCAATTACTATATAGGAGTAGAGGTT